AGGGTTGATATATTTGAACTGAACTATTATTAGAGTACATAATCTGAATGGTGAATGGAAGATACGAAGTGAAAAATCAAAAGAAAGTTGCAAAGGAGAGGGAAAGTGTGAAATCCTGTGGATCACTAGTGAGAATGTTTCAGTCTCTAAGGATAAGAGAGCACATGGAAAAGCCAAGACAAACACCAGAGAAAGATAGGAAAAGAACCAGGAACAAAAAATCTGCAGTATATTTATTTATTTTAAAAAATTATATGGCTGCCCATATGGCTTGCAAAGATAAGACCCAATATAAAAAACAATAACCCTGACCTCTTTGTAACAACAATCAGTCAAATGAGCCACTTAATAGGCTCCATCCCATTCTGGATTTTGCTGGCTTTGTGAAAGTGTGTCAAAGTGGGGGCCAATCTTATTTCTTTGGGGGTGATGTTCCACTGGGAGGCAGCTATCATAGAGAATGCCTTTCTATTTGGTCCCACTAGATGTATTTCCTTAGGAGAGGGGACCCACAGCATTCCCTACTTTGATGGATTGGGTAGATGTGACTTTGGAAAAGTCACTCCGTCAAATAATCTGGTCCCAAGCCATATATTTGTAGTGTTAGATATTAAGCTGAATAGATGGTAAACTTCAGACTGATATGATCACAGTTGCTACGTTTGCAGGCTTGTTTTAAATCAACTTTCCTTTTAAAAATCCAAGAGCTAGATGTGTGGTGGGAGGGGGGGTGAAAGGGAAAAGAAAATTATCAAATTAGAGTTGTGGCCTAATACAATCTAATTTTTACAACTGAACCCTAAGAAATAATACAAAAGAATTAATTGGGTTTTCTCTTAAGTATATGTAAAAATCTTGGTATCTTGGTAGTACCCTCTCCCGTGCAGTGACAATTGACATCGAGGTCAACTGTAGAATTGCCAAGGCAAGTTCTGCATTTGGCAGATTGTGGACTAACGTGTGGGACCGCCGTGGAATAAGTCTTGCTACCAAGCTTAAAGTTTACCAGGCAGCAGTGCTAACCACCCTATTGTATGCCAGTGAGACCTGGACAGTGTACAGGAGGCATATTAGGCAACTGAACTACTTCCACATGACTTGCCTTCATAGAATTCTGAGGATCCGGTGGCAGGATAAGATACCAGACACAGATATCCTCTCCAGAGCAGGCCTATCACAGTTTACACTCTGTTGATGAAAGCCCAGATGCGCTGGGCAGGCCATGTTGTAAGGATGCCAGATCATCGCATCCCTAAACAGCTCTTCTATGGTGAGCTGTCTCAAGGAAAGCGATTGCACGGGGGACAAAAGAAGCGATACAAAGACACGTTGAAAGCTTCTCTTAAGTCCCTGGATATTAACACCATCTCTTGGGAACTTCTGGCGCATGATCGATCAACATGTAGTACCTTAGTGTACCAGGGTTGCCAGATATATGAACACAGAAGGACAATCTTGGCACAAGAAAAGCGAGCACTCCGCAAATCCAGAGCTGCAAATACTGAAGTAACAGTGTCTACATTTCTTTGTTCAGTATGTGGCAGAACATTCCGTGCTAACATCGGTCTTATTAGCCACCTACAGACACATTGTTGATGGCCCATAACCCACAAGATGTCAAGGTCTTCATTGAAATCGTTGGACGAACAACAACATGTAAAAATCACATGCTAGGGACAAAAGTTCCTGTTGGATAAACTAAGCAACATGATACACATTCAGATAAGCAAATGGGAGTAAGAAAACTCAATAAATAGTACTGTTTTCTGTCCGTATGTTTTAGAAGGCAAGTGTTAGTAAGATTATTATGCTATTGTACTAATTCCTGCTTTACATATTGCAAACTGACTGTTTGAAAAAAGAAGTGGGAAATTGTTGCTCACAAAACTTGTTACTTTCAACAATCACACCGTATTTCAAATGGCAAATCATTTCTAGAAATACAGAAGTCCTGAACCTTTGGCGAATGGCTATTCAACAGAGCTGCTTACTCTTTATTGCAATAAAATGCCTCAATTGCAGCTGGTGTTGGTGAGGCCATCTGGAAGTTCCATTGACAGCACAAATAAATAAAATGTAGTTGTTAAGAAGTTTTATTTATTCTTTTACTGTTCCCCAAAGAGATTTAACTAAACTGTGCTTTTAATTTAAAAGCATCTGGACCTATTTATCACAAACAATTTAACAAAGCTGCTAGCTGCTATGGGAAAATACAAATTAAAATTAACTACAAATGGTTGCAGAATTCAGTGCATACAAAGTTGAGTCAAGAGAAATGGCTGTATCTTTGTAAAGCCTTTCTTCTTTTTTGATGTGTAGAGCTCAGGTATAAGAACAGGGGTCTTCAAACTTGGCCCTTTTATGACTTGTGGATTTCAACTCCCAGAATTCATCAGCCAGGCACTCTGGCTGAGGAATTCTGGGAGTTGAAGTCCACCAGTCATAAAAGGGCCAAGTCTGAAGACTCCTGTATAAGAAGAACAATAAATGAGGCTTAGGGGCCATTGGATATGGGCAAAGGATCAAACTTTTCCCTCTCTTTACTGCTCTCTTTTGGTCACTGGAAAATCTACAGTAAGGCTTTCTGGCATTCCCACTAATTATGCAAACTAATTCCTCTAGGAATCTACACTTTGGTCTTAGAGCATATATGACCAGTTTGGGGTTTCTGAAAGGCTCTTCCCCCCCCCCCCAAGGTTGCAGCGTTTGTTTCCAGGGTGGATGCCAATTTCATAGTTTTTGACACCCTATTGGCCACAATCTTCTCAAAGCCTTTACAAAACCGATTAGCAAAAAACTTTCAACTTAGTTTTACTGTTTGTTTTTTTAAAACAAAACAAAAGAATGCCTAGCTAAAGCAGTAAGACCAGGAAATTAGACACCTTCTGTTTGTGCAAGAGTCATCATCAGAGCAGATGAAGGAGAAAATACACAGCTGTATACTCTGCAAAATTATGAAACTTTTTCAATTTCAAATCAAGTTGGATGAGTTAGACTATAGCAATGATTTTCAAACTACTGTACTACTGTAGATTACATTTGAAAAACTAAATATATTGTGCAATATATTTGAAAAAGCATACTGTAAATATTAAGTAGCAAAGTGTATGAAATGTAGGTAGGACACAAATGGTCCAACTATATGAAATAAATGACCTCTACTCTGAGAGCATTTAGAAAACTAGATTAAATGCAGCTATTCCAGCAATGTTTGGTCTTTTGGAGCTCCAGAATTTCCTTCCCCTCAACAGTTTTTTTAAGCACTTCTGACTTCCAGTTTGTAAATCATGTCTCCAAGAATCATGATGCGCTTTGCTGGTAGTTCAAGGTGAATTATTGTAATTTATAGATTGAGACTCCAAACTTTTGGTATACACAAAGAATATTACAAAGATACAGCATTCTAAGATATTTCTGGACTTGACTACATCCATAAACCATTTCATACTCCTGAAAACTACCAGACTATTTTGAGAATGTCTGAGCAGCATGGGCTAGATGAAGAATGGAACATTACAGAATTCTGAAATATATTCTGCCTCCAACAACAGAAATGGTTTACACATACCTATTAAGTCATTTAAGCCTGCAAGCTGAGCATCTTTTACTTTTTGCATATTACACCTGAAATATTAATATTTTTAATACTATAAATAGCAACTGGGTTGAAATAAGTGGAATAAATAAAAGCAGTATTATCCCAAAATATGTGAATTATGCATTTTGCAACCAAGATGATATGAATTAATATTGACAGAATCCTTTAAATCAGTGGCCCCCTAACCTTTTGGGCACCGGGGACTGGTTCAGTGGAGAGATTTTTCTGTGGATTAGAGTGGGCGTGGTTTTGTGTGCTGCCTGCATTCTGCAGATCGGACTTCACTTGATGGCGTGGCCCAGTTTCTGGCATGCTATGGACTGGTGCCAGTCCATGGACTGGGGGTTGGAGACCCCTGCTTTAAATGCCCTGGCATTTGAGAAACTGTTGAAAGAAAAGAGTTCCCAATACCAGGAACCACAAATACAAAGCAATTCTAATTCTGGGGCCACTAGTTGGAGATGGCCAGCCATATAAATTGAATGAATGAAATAAATAAATAATAAATTGGCCCTTTTGTTATAATCACCATGCTATGGTTTTATTATACTTTTAAAGTACAATGTCATACTTTATACCATTATATTCTTTTGATTTTCTTAACTGAGCTAGTTTTTAATTAAAATGTTGACGTTTCATATCAACTACCTTAAGACTTATTTGATAATCTGATGCATCCATATGATATGCTTTTAAGTGCTGGGATTCATAAATTATTGACATCTTTGGACAGATGCTCTCATACTCTCTGAAAATATTGTAAAAAAAAGCAAAGATAAATATGCTGCACATGACTGAAATTGACAAGAATAGCAAGTGGATGCTTGACTAGACTGCTACTTAGTGTATAAATACAGACATTTCTTTGGGCTATGGTACCTGCGTGATTCCCAAGTAATATATTAACAATGCATTCAAAAAGTTCAATAGGTAGGTCCTGGGTGAACTAGTGAATAGGAATATAGTTTATTCAAGTATGTAATACTACAATTTGGTATAAACATAAGCCTGGATCCTGATACTAGGTATCCATGATCTAACCTTATAGTTTGGTTAACTTAAAAATGACTTTCCATTATTCAACTAGAAAAATGTGCATTGGAGTGTACTTCTGTAGAACTCCACACAAACTTGTTCAAAATGTTAACCATTAAATAATCTAATATATGCCTATTGTTAATTCTAGTGCAGTTCAGTTTCAGTGATGTATGATTGGCTGGTGCTAGTAGCATTACTTTGAACTATATGCTGAGACAGAATGTAGTAATTCAAGTAAACATGATTAACAATAAGCACCATTCTAGCAAATGAAGCATATCTGGTTTCTTGCGATAATACAAGATGCACTATACGGTAGGCTTCCTAAATGTTGAAAGGTTGGGTAAGAAAATATTCAGTTTGACTTTAAAATGTAAACTTTTTATTTTAAGGCCAAAAAAATACATTCAAGTTTATGATTCTTAAAGTTGATATTACATTATTTATTACAACAAGCTTCAGTAAAACATTTCCAGAAATGAAGATTTAATTAGCATTTTATTTATGAGTTTCACCGCAAGCATAATTGAGAACAAGACTAAGGACATTTTAAATCACATATATTTCTACAAGTGCAATATTGACAACTTTGCTATTTCACATTTTCAATGTATCTATTTAATAATTCAAATTATATAGAAAAAGATATTCCATTCACAAAAAGTGAGCAGTTCCAACAATTTTGTTTTATAGAAAAAGTGGTAGTACATTGTGCAAAATTCCAACTATAATTATAATCTTATTAATTTAATATCCTATATACTTCCATGAATCTTATTTGAAGTTACCAATCCCAATACACTATACAAAGCAGGAAACTTAAGCAGGGAACATAATAAAACAAGCCATCTTTCAGATTAACTTCCAGCTGTATAAAATAGAACTTAAAAAAATTATATTCTTGGCCATAGTATAATGGTATACTTCCTATGTAAGATATTGTCAACAAGTATGGCTATAAACCCAGCTTACCAAAGAAATATCCAGAAAAGTATTTCCTCTGAACATTAAATTTATAGATGGGAGGAAAGTCTTTTACATTGCCAGAAATAGGGAAAATGTTGGCTTGCCAAATATGGCCTTAAAATATATAAAGTCTAGAAGTAGAGTTAGTGAATTGACATTTGGAAGCTTATGTTCATTCATAGTGACATATACCAATACATCGTGATACAAAAAAAAAAAAAAAGAATAAGTAGTCTTAGATTCAGCTTATGAAAAAGCTGAAATACTAATTATTAAGTCTAGTTTTCAGTTAAAATGCTCAACAATTGCTACAAGTATTCTACATTTCAAACCAAGGCAAAAATCAATTTTACACTTAAGAAAAAGCATTAGTTTAACATTATTTGAATTTTCAATTCTTATTTCCTTACCAATGACATATACAAAATGTAGGAAATAACAGACCCAGAAACCGTTTCACCAGGCACATATTCTTTAGCTGCCAGTGTGTATACATTAAAATATTGCTACCTTTCAATATGTTTACACACTGCACTTTGAATCAGGAGAGTTTTATAAGAGAGCAGCAGATCAATTTTCTATTACCTTTTAATTGTATAATTTTTATGCAGGGAAGAAGCTATGTTAATCTCTCCACAGGCATTTTTTTTGTTATACTAGAATAGTCTTGAAGCATCTTCAAATAGTAGCAGCCTAGATTCACTGTATTTTCAACTCCACCTCATTCCAGTAGTGTGCAAAGCAAATCCTGAACCCTACCCTAGAGAAGTCTAACTATGAAAAGAAGGATAGTGTGCATTGAAGATACATTTCAAAGAACATGGAGATTTCTATGAGCTGTTTGACATCATTTTACCAAATATATCCTCAGTTTGAAAGGGGATCAATCTGCAAGCCATCAATGTTTGATTTTATTTGAATTCTTAATGAAAATATGAATATTATAAAGTATTGTTCTGATATACATTAGTATTAAACTTTGGGACCTATAAAAGTTATTTTATTCTTTGGATATCTAAAATATTATATCCAGAAATCATGATTGCCACTGCTTATAATGGTATCCCACTGAGAAGCAAATTTTGGTCCAAACTTTTAAGTAAAATGAAAGATTGAAAAATGTTTGTGGTTTTCAACCAAAGCCCATAAATATTATGATTATTTACTAACATAAGTGTAGGTATCTGAACTTTTAAAGCTCATATTTAATCTTCATATCCATACACTTGGCAATTTGATTTATATTACAGTATTTCAAATATATAGCTTTCTTGCTATACATACACAGTATATTTTAAATACTAGGTTTAATTTTAAATAAGCTTTCTGAAGTCTACCAGTCTTATTTAGTAGCTTAGAATCCTTAATATGATAACCAATGCATATGAAAAGGATGAATAAATAACTGTTCTTTCCTTGTTACAAAATATATTACTGATTCTTCAATTCTCAGTGAGGTTCTAATCAGTCGATAAGAAAGATGATTTTTGAAAGTATTGCTATAAGCAATTTCTAAAAAGAAATCACAACTTTACATAAATGTATACAATGAAGTTCTTGAAGTGTACCATATGGTGGTGGTGTTTTTTTTTTTAAAAAAAAAAAACATTAACTTTTTTTATTTCATGTTTCATTTCAAAGTGGACAAAACAAGTGATAGCAGTTACAGAAATTAACCAAGAGTTCTTTCCACTTTACTTTTAAAGCAGATAGGTAGTGGCAGCTATATTTTGCTTGTTCCTGATTAAATCCCTTTCCTAAATAGTTACTTTGACAGTGAACCGTGTCAAAATAATGCCATTAAAATTGTTAAGAAAGCACCACATTCTTTTTGAGTTGTTACAGTCTCCTGAAATCCATTAAAATGCCTCATTTGAATTTACCTGAAAGGGGAAAAAAAAGGATCATTAATGAATTTTTTTTTTTTGTTAAGAGGATAAATATAATACTTAAGATATCTTCTGGGGAAATAATTAACTGAAACTAAATCACCTATCAAATCTTAACAGTGCCAACCTGGGGCATGGATTATATTATCTAACTCTGGAAGCATGAAATTGCATTGTAGAAAACATATGCAATGGCAATTGTTTTACTAAGTAACAACATCACTAGAGGATTTTGAAGTGCTCCTCTAATTGCCTTTTCCCCCATTTCAGTGTAACAAGTTCTCTGCCTACTGGAATAGGAAAAGAGGAAAAAGAGTATTCATATATATATAAGGCAGTAACTATATAATACAAAGATAATACAAAACAGAATTACTGTGGGTTTTTAGAAAGTAGCCTTAATGTTCTTCATGCAAGGAAATCCAAAATAGGATTTCAAAGTGTACTTCATGTTATGTTTAGGCCTAATAAAAATGGAAATTATACTTAAATATATAAAGTTAAGTGCTTGAAGTGATTTGTTTTACAGCCTGCATACCACACACACACACACACAGTGCAACTCTATAAAGCACCATTCGCTCAAAAATGGTTTACAGCTTCATAAAACACCATTCCATGTGACTTAAATGCAAAAAATAAACTAGAATACAATAGAGCTGGAAGGGACCTTGGAGGTCTTCTAGTCCAGTCCCCTGCTCAAGCAGGAGAACCTATACAATCTCAGACAAGTGACTGTCTAGTCTCTTCTTAAAAATCTCCAGTGATGGAGCGCCCATGATTTCTGGAGGCAAGCTGTTCCACTGGTTCATTGTCCTCACTGTCAGAAAGTTAATTCCAGGTTGCTTCTCTCTTTGATCAGTTTCCAACCACTGTTTCTCGTCCTTCCCTCTGGTGCTCTGTTGAACAACGTGACCCCCTCTTCCTTGCAGCCTCTCTATATCTATCCGGAAAATAGGTCTAAATATATCTGTCCAGAGAACATATGTTTACTGAAGAACATTACACCTACTCTCTATATATAGTGCTTAAATGTTTGAGGATTCTTTTGAATTTTCAATATTTATGCAAAAATATGACATAAAAGATAACCTTTCTCCACAGAAATTCTAAAATTTGATAAAAAGAACCCAATTAAAACAAATGAATCAAATACACTGTACTTGGTCATTGATTTATTGGGGGAAATGATCCAGGTCATATTTATGCAGAAATACTGAAATTCAAAAGGATTCACAAACTTTTGAGCACCACTGTATTTACATATATGAATTGTAAAGGAGCATATGTAGCAGCAGTACTCAAGAAAACTGCATACTGGGTAATGGTGTTTTTTTTTAGAGTTTGATTGTTTATTTGTAACCCTGTATTCAGCTCTGGGAAGTGGGGGAGGGGGGTAGAGGTGAGTGGGTCTTGGGATGTATATTGTATAAAATGTTTCAATAAAGATTAGCCTCTAAAAGAAAGCTGCATACAAAACTGCTTTCAAAATTTAAATAAGAAACATCAAGTCAGAAATTATTTTTTTACAATAGTTCTTTTAATTATTAAATATTGAAAATAGAGTGATTTCAACATCAAATATTATTAATGTTATTAACCCCAAATAACGTGGAATTATATATGCTTGCCTTTTGTAAGGAACCTGTCCTTTGATAAGAAAAAAATACTCTGAATTCCCTACTTTATAGTAGAAAGACTTCTTTATTCAGCCACCTCTGTAGCTCATAAAACATTTCTTTTTCTACATTCAAATTTTCTATTCAAAATGTAATTCAATTGCAGTCTTACATTATTATAGCAAGCTATGGTCTCAGTAGAACTTTCCTGAAACCAAAAAGTCTAGTTCTGAATAAGAATTTCCAGAAAACTCCATCTTGAATATTAGGCCACCTTGAATATTATGATAAAAAAGTGTAAAATAATAATGTAATTATATGCAGAAACTGACTCCTGCTGTTCAGTTGCTATAGAATCATACAGGAGCTTCCAGAGAAGCAGCATGTAAGATTCTTATTATCAGATTTGGGAGATGCAATATTTGAGGAGAGAGAGCATGACACAGCAAGCTCAAATTATTTGTAAATTGTAAATAATTAAAAGAACAAATTACCTATTGTTTAAGTTTATTAAAGAATGAAAATAAAATTCCCTTTTATATATAACAATTTATTTGTACAGAGCTGGGGGGAAAAGTTCATTACTTCTGGTAAATATCACCTGAATAAATGTTTCTTGAAATTCCTTTGCCAATAGTATCTATATTATCTGTCCATGTACAAGATTAACTTATATTTTCTGTACATGTTTTAAGCTATGACGAGATACTTCATTCTGCTAAGCATAGTTTTCAATTTAGTTGAGTCAATTTAGCTATTCACATTTCTTAACAGTTGAATAGGAAAAGGAAATCTGACAAAATATTAACTATTCTTTTTTCAAATAGAAAAATTATGAAACTTATTATTTTTACATCAAAATAAGCAATGTTTTAGGATACTACTTTTGCCTTAAGTGATGAGTCTCGTGGCATCTAAAGGAAATTAATTTGACAGGGATAACAATCAATTTCAGATGTAAGATCTTACAGTAAATCTTCTAATCTAGAAAAATTTTAAAAATTTACTTATAAAGTCACAAATTCTGATATATTTTTTTGCAGTTATGTGGTTACAAAATCTCAAAAAAGAAATAACTAGAATGTGTACCTATCATAGCCTATAGAAAATCAAGATTTATTCAGGCACTCCTCCCCATTTTTTAAAATTGATTTGAAATAGTAGAAAAAATTAATAGCAGATTTTTAAATATTTTCTGCATTTTCATAGGAACTTTTTAAAATAGACTATTAAATTAAAATTATTAAGAGCTTGTGTCATTAAATATTTCTTCATATACAATACTAAACACTTTTTTCAAAATGATAATATTTAAATCATCTAGCAGTGATTATCTTGTGAAAACAAGACATTTCAAAATATAAACTAACCTGAGATATACTTTGCTCCGATTAACATTAACAGGCTACTCATTATAAAAAAGCCCAAAGGCAGACTACAGAAGATACTAGTTTCACCTGATGTCATCCAGAAGAGAGGTTCCAGTCAAACAAATCAAGAGAGAGATACGTGTAAATTGCACTATTTAAGAATTACATGAAGAAAATTAGAAGAGAGAGAAATTCTGCAAAATGCTACAGACAGTTCAGCATATAGTAATAATTAGAATAGGACAAACACTGAGGCTTAGATATATTTCAGTCTTGCATCCAGTGTCAATATTTAAGATTATTTAGACAGAAACAATTTGCTACTAATAAAGTAGATAGTACAGAATTTCAAATAAAGCTGATATTAAACATTACAAATAATGCAAGAAGAAAGAACGCGCTATGGAAGGTGGAAGAATGAATTCATGTGTGTCTGATTATACACATACAAACTATCTCACACTTATCTTTGTTTTTCAAAAATATTGACTGTGTATGAAGTACCATGTAATGTGGGGCACTGCATATTTCTTATCCAATCATGCATTGTGCCTGCTCCATCATACACATTATACTATCAGCAAGTGAAATATACATGTACCAACTGTCTCCAGACTTGAATTGAAAGCATAAAATTGCTATTGTTAACTATAAATGAGCAAATACAGTACTAAAACCATTTATGACAGTCATATCTAGAAAGCTCTGTAGATTGCAAAGCTGCAGTGTTATATTATTTACCAAGGACCAAGGTTCACTGAATTCATTGCCATTCATTTCAGAGCAGCTGTGTATAGTATTCTGCAGCAAGCAACACAATACTTTCAAATAGCAACAAGCATTTAAACTTCCTTCAGGAAACAGCACTGCATCTAATTAAAAGATTCTCAAGTTTTTACATATTAATTCTCTTCAGACTAATTGTATAGAAATTGTAAATAAGGCTTCTTTCCTTTACATCTTTCTCACCCGACTTATAGTAATGCTTGCTGAATTTAAAAAGAACTTATTTTTTCATAAACAGAACATTTTTAAGCTAAAATAAATTTTGTTTGAAATAAAAAATACTGGTATATAAATGCATTTCTTGTGCTCTTCATACAGAATATGTGATATTATTCAAATTTGTTCCTGACTGGGTTGCATTTTCAATGTTTGACTAAGCCGAGATTGTTATAGCTCTGATAAACCCAAAATTGCTAAGATAAGTATTAATTGCATTGTACTTTACTGATTATCGTATAATGTTTTTGTAAAATTGCCAAGACAATTACTATTGGATGCTATTAATATCGCCATTATAAAAAAGGTGTTTTTTTTGACATTGTATCATTGTATGCAAAGGGGGAACTCCAGTAGTTTCTTGAAACCAGTGAAGCTTTAGTTTTGGCCCAGTCAATAAGTCAACTAGATAATAATTAGGACTTACAAAAATAAACATTATATATCATTGTCCTTTACTAACCTGCCCATATCTTTCCAACAACACAGAAACTACTGCTTTATATAAGGAAAAATATTGTTATGTATTTTTTGTTCTATTGTTGGAGTTTCTAACTTACATTGCTCAACCCTACTGTTAAAAAACAAGAAATCCCCCCCCCCATTTTCTTTCTGCAGTTATTAGGACTTTAAAAAAAATGAGTGTCTAATAATCTATTGCCATATCTGAAATCTTTGGTCTAACTGATTCATCATCCTTCTGGCTGGAGGAATTAATATCTTACAGTTATTTTTGATTTTTTAATTATAGTAAATTCACACTTTAAATTTTCTGATTGTACTTAATTATACTAAAAAAATCTTAATCAAATTAACAGACCTACAGTATAAGCACGCTTATAAGGACAATAATCCAACTGAATTTATTAGAATATATTTTTAAATAGAAATACTTAGGTTCTCACTGAAAGTCATAAACCAGGACTGATTAACCAAATATGTTTCATGTGATTGCACTTTAATAAAAATATACCTATCAAGGCAAATACATTTTGTTACCTCATTTTTTTTTCTATTTTTAGTACTACAGTTGTCAATGATGAAGGATTGAATATTTATTTAGCTAGTTCATGTAGTACATAAAACAATTTACATTCAGAATTAATCTTTTATTAATATAAAAATAAATAAATCCTTTATTTTCATGTGAAAATGAAGCCTTATACAATCTGTATTTCAGCAGTTTGAAACAAAACTGAAATAGCTTTTTACTACATCTTTTGTCTGGAGGCACTTTCAAAACTTCAAAAATTGCTTAAGAATACAATTTTTAAGCATTCTTAAGCAAAATTGACATGCAATTGGCTTAAACGCTTGATGTAATTTATAAAGGGTTTCAACTGTTCCTGTTTACTGTTTAGATCTGCATTTTTTTCAGGCCAATCACTGTGATTGGCTTTGAGAAGACTCAGGCCAGAATAAATTAAATTCATGTGATTATATGAATTTATATACTTAATATGATTAATTCCTGTATTTACACAAGCTGTTTTTGTAACTTTAAAATTAAATTAAATCTTAAAACTTGGTGGCAGGATTTGAGTATATTGCTAGCTGTACTCAAGACTTTAGAAATTTTCATACAACTCGGTGAAAGTTGTAAATGCCAGTAGAAATGTATTCCTCAAATAATTTGAGAGTATATTTCTATCTTGCTACTATCTGGTTGTGCATCTCAACATAAATTATTGAAAAATAAGTGTACACATTGTTCCATATTTTCAGTTTCTAGGACACTTACTAAAACATGGTTGGATTATAACTACTACCACTATCAATACAAAAATCTATTTTTTTCTATTTGCTACAGTCTATTGTGTATGGAAAAGCAATTTGACTTTTACAAGTAATGCATGAATGATGACTCACTGTTTCCTTGAGGTTCTGATGTCTCCCACCCCATTGATTTCTTAACAGCTTTCTTCCATCTGGTATAACGATATTCACTTTCTGAAATCAAAAACAACATTTTTATCAAAAATTCAAACAATTATTTGTATTTAACATAAAAGCACCTACTTTGTAATATATGGAAAAATCTTCTGAAATGCATAGGAATTTCATTAACTGTCAGAAAACCTCAAAATTTAAATTAAAAAAAGGAAAGTTTGCAATAGTGGCAAATAAGGAAAGTATCAATCTCCCTCCCCCAATATAATTTTCCTAAGATAGTTCACCATTCAGAGGTAGCACAACTATGCTGACAGAATAAACTATGCTAATCTTATACCAGTATGAATGGACTAGATTTGCATAAACTGAGCGAGCTTAGATAGCGAGATTAGATCTTAAAAGCCCTTCTTACCCTCTGGATTGATCTGTGGCTCAAAACGTTCACATGTTACTGCTGTGAAATCATCAGGATGTAAGCTCCAGACTCCCACCCCTTCTGCAGCTCCAGCTGCCATTGCTGCTCCAAGTGCTGTGGTTTCAGGCATGGATGGCTTTACTAATAAGACAGAAATCAAGGTAGCATTTTTATCTAGTCCTTGATAGAACAAAATATATGTAGACAAAATGAGAGCATTTTAAGTATTAAAACAAGTATCTTTTTTTTCACTTTTACATCTTACTTTATTTTACTTTTCATTCAATTGACTGAAAAATATTAGTAGCTAGTGAATTAAGGACAAATATGCTTTATACAAAGATGGATTCTTTAATGAAAAAGGAGTCTGCTGATTAATCAGCTGGAATACAGGGAACTAATAACCAATGCAAACATATACTTTATTTTAATTTCTATCACAAAGAAACATCATCCTATATATTCACCAATCAGCCCTAGATTATTCCTTTAAACAAGTAATTAAAAAAGACAGTATTCGTTGACAAAAAAACACTCAAACAAAAAACCTATTTACATAGTCAGAGGCAATATTTTTCAAATTTCAACTGCCAAAATATATCTGCCATGTATTTTATCCATTAAATATTGCTTTTGGCACCAAACCAAAACTGCATTACAGTGAAATTACATCTGACATCTTGACAGGTGTTCTTGCAGATGTATCTGTGTGTTTGTATAGGAAACATTAAAAGTTTCATTTAGTGCATATCTTGTCTTTCCTCAAAAGCTCAAAGTGATGCAAAAGAGGTTTGCCTACCATTTTATTTTCATAGCCGAAACTATCTAACGGGTTTGTAAGGATATGCTGCCCATTTAATTTTGCAATTCGGTAAATACTGGAACATGGGTTTCTTAAATCATATTTCAGCTCCTTCACTAATATATGTATCCTTTCCTCCCTCCTATAATTGTATTGCTCAAATGCTCTTTCTTAAATTTTTATCCTTAGGTTTTCTAGAACTCAGCAGTAAACTTCCTTACCCTTTAATCCCATTGCAGCATTTTTAAAGGAAGGTGCTAGCAGAGAATTGCCTTTCCATGACAACACTATCAGTGACAGGAAGAGCAATGTAAATCTTCCTTAAATAAACAAGACAAGATGATGTTTTCAACATTTTTCATCCCGATAAAAGAAATTATGATTTTATTATTCCTAAAAGAGGGTTCCTTTTACATGTAGTTACTAAATAACTATTTAACTGAATAACAATTACTCAAAATAAAGCAGAAAGACTAAATTGACAAAAAAAAAAATTATGAACTGCAGTTTCCTTAGATGACTTTACAAAACAAAAAGGATCTAAAAAGCCTACATTGGCAAGGCTGAAAATCTTGGTATATATGTAATTCCAGAAATATATTTTAATGTAAGTAAACTGAAATACTTTTTTCAAAAGTCATAGTGAGCCTTATATATAGCAATTCAAAATAAAATGCAAGGAGACTTTTATCTTACCTACTGGAATACAAAGAATATCAGCCTGGAGTTGCATAAGGATCTTGTTGTTGGTCATTCCTCCATCAACTTGTAACTGACTAAGTGGTATCCCACAGTCTTTATTCATTGCATCCAATATCTAAAACAAACAATTCCTATTAATTTTTTCAATAAAAACTAAAATGTTTTAGTTTACATAGCAAAAAAAATAGTTGAAACATTTGGCTTTATGGCATTATAAAAAAAATCAGTAAGAACAAAAAAAAACAAAGTAAGAAAAAATTTTACTTGAAAATTTTATTTTACATTTTGAACTAATATCTCAGGTGAAATAAGCTACAGTTTAAACACATTTAGACATGTCTGCCTATAGAAATAAAACAACAGTATTATAAAAAATTAAACTAACTCAAAAATCCTAATAATACAGTACTCATAATCTATACCTCCCGTGTTTGAAAGCAGACAGCTTCTAGTGCAGCAAAGGCAATATGGTTTTTATTTGTAAACTGAGTAAGGCCACAGATAATTCTGCAAATGAAGACAAATGATACTATAGTTAGAAATAAAAGTAGTATTAAAATACAACATACTATCTCACTGTGATCATGCAAGTAACTGCCTGAAAGAATATATAATATATAATTCAGACAAAACATTCACTCCTTAAAATTAATTTTGCCCTACTGTTTATATGATTTTGGTATATCTGCATTTAAACAATATATTGTCATCTATAATTTGGAACAAAGGTCAGCAGATGTATTCAAGAAAATAGCTGTCATAAGGAGTTTTGCCGTTCCTCAAATAAATATGGTCAAGGAGACATTCTCGGAAATAAAAATGCTTTTGAAGGAGGTAGTTCATGTCAGCTAGAATTACTAGGTCAGCTTCTTTTACATTTGATTTAATATAAATATCTTTTAAAGGAAAACTGGGCACAGGGCTGGGGAATATCAAATGAAGTGAATACAGATGTCAGCAATGGTACTTTCCTTTGGCATAAAGCAGAATATACACTTTCATAAGCCCTGTTTATTAGCAGAACATCAGAAAAGTACTATTTAACTTTCAATCAGATAATATTTACCCTCTTGCACTGGGTTCCCAGTATGGTGCATATAATCCTGAAAATGCAGGAACAAAGTAGCAGCCGTAAGACGTGCCCACTTCAGCAGCAAGTTTCTCTAAGATCAATAAAAAATAGAAAACTTATCTCTGCAGAGAAATAGTCATTTGAAAGCTAGGAATTGCAAAAGAAAATGTAAGTAATGTCTAGAATAAATAAGACTGTTGACTGCATTAATGTATATACAACAAATATAGAGCCTGAAAACAAAAGTACAAATTTTATATATGCTATAATCTTCATTAAGCTGGTACTATCTGGATGTGCTGAACTACAATATATCTCCCACAGATCATATATATCCATAAATAAAACCTTATGGTATGATTTGAATAAAAATAAATCCTACTCAATTATCTTTTTTCCCAGAAAAATGGTGTAGAATTGTAGTTTTAATTAATTATAATAATTGAAACTCTGTATGATTACTATTCCTACTCCTACTAGCAATATTACCATATACATATTTTACTATTATATTTTCAGAAGAAATACAGGGTCCCCAAGTCTAAAAATTAGGTACCTAGGGTTAAAAATGGCATAGACCTCAAGAACAGAATAAAATTCTTATCTAAGTTAACATGTCTGAATGAAACACAGAACCCTTCTGAGCAGTGATGGGATTCAAATATATGAACAATCGGTTCTCTTTGTGGATGCTGCTTCCGGAAGTCCATTCTGGGCAACAAAAAATTAGTTACTGGTTCTGCCGAAATGGTGCGAACCACCACTGCTTCTGAGCCCCTGTATTCTTACAGATTTACAATAAATTAGAAAGTTATACTCACCTACTTCTTCTGAAGATTTTGCAATACCAAGATTGTCCCTCAACCAACGAACAACAGCTCCTGCAATAGCAACAGAGCCCTAAAACAAAAAGGCAGACTGAAAATGTTTCATTTATTACTTCATGATTGTTCTTGCAGTATAGCATCCAAATATGTATTAAAATGGATCATGCCTATTTATTTTATCAAATTTATATGCTGCCCATGTCCTAGTCACAGATGTTTTTGCACTTCTTACAACTATTTTTAAAGCAATCTTAAAGATCTTAAATAGCTGTAGAATACTACAACAGCATTCTACAGAATTATGGAATTATTCACAATTAAAATTTCATGGAAACAACGGAAACTCTAATTCATACCCATGTTTGACTTGCACACTTGAAATGATCCTGAAATTACATGAAATATTGGTACCCCTTCAAATACTGTATCTTCTCACTGAGTCCATATTACTGGTAATCAATTTGAGGAACCACTCAAAGTGCACATTTTTTCGTAGAGGTACATAAAATGGTGCTGACATCGAAGATACTCTCGCTCAGGGGTCGCCAACCTTTCTGGGTTGGCGGCCTGGTGGGAAAGGGAGGGACAGGCACCTTTATGTGCCCATAGCACACACGCAAATGTGGCTTTGTGCACGTGCAAGTGAACGGGGCCGTGAGCATGCACACTCCACAAGTGGGGCTGCTAACACTGGCACACAGCTCTCCTAGCGCTGGCGAGAGGCTTGCAGCTTGGCTAGCATCGACACAAGGTAGGGAGTGAGCACGCGCACATGCATGCGTGCACTGGCCAGCCACTCATGCGGCCCAGTAGCCAAGAGGCCACAGCCTGGTAGTGGGCCACGGCCTGTAGGTTGCGGACCTCTGCATGAATTATAGCATTTATCTATAAATAAGTGGTTGGTTGGCATCCACTGAAACTGAAATATCAAAATGCCTATAATGAATAATTTGACTTACTTCTAATGCATAATATACTGCCTTGTCTCTGCCCAATTTGTAAGCCACAGTGGTTAGGAGGCCATGCTCAGAAAGTGCAGGCTGAGAAAAACAAAGAAAAAGAAAGTATCAGTTATTCTTTTTTTCCGCTTTATAGGAAAAGTCACTGTATAATAGTCATGTACAATTTTAAAACATAAGTGGAAATTTTAAAATATTAATTACTTACCAATAAATATTTCATGGGGGAATTATGATAGCTAAATACATTTTTGACATCTTAATAAACAATAATATTTCTGGTTATATTAATTACTTAACGTATCTAGAAATCTAATTGGCTATTTCATCTGTTAAAGATAGCTATTGCCAAAATACTAAACTAATTATTTTTCAATTGTCTTAAACAAAACACTGGTTAATGTATTAGCTTTCTAATACGGGTATCACTTTAAGGATTTCATACCAATCAATTTCTCAAAAAAATTATGAAGCTAAAGCCTGAACCAGGAGTCCTATTACAACATGATTTCAACTTGCCTTTTGTGAGATGAATGGCTATATGAATTTGATTAATAAGTAAAATAAATTATTTAAAAATTATATAGAAGACATTAAAGACAAAGGAAACATATTGAACTATGTTTTTTAAAAAATATACAATTAAGTATAATGTGCATTAAAGTCTTTTTATTTGAAAAACAGCAGATTGTTTCACTCATAGCACTAACCTTATGGCCCGTATTGCAGAGTAAGAAGCAGCCAGTTCCATATCTACAGTGAAAAAAAACCAAGTTACTGAAGTACATCTGAAAAGCAGAATGTAATTCTTCAGCTAAATTGCTGAAGAAGAACCTGCAGCAAATAAATATCAAAAAACCTGGAATAAAAAATCACTCTAAAACTATTCATGAATAGCAACAATCTAAATGTCCACATTTCCTATTCTTATGCTCTGTATAGTATCCAAATTAAATAGCATGGTTACATGGTCAATCCAGGAAATTCCAGAGAAACCAAAGCCAAAATTTTGTTCCCCTGAAATTAACCCAACAAACAGAAAAAAATTACCTGTATCTTGACATCTCTAAGAAGTACTGGATTGTATTGATTTTGTATTATATTGATTTTCCTTTCTGTAATAAGTCTATAATGTAATAGTTCCTATTAATCTTACGTATTCTTTGCTTGGCCATCCTTGAAGCACATTTGTCCTACTAATGCAGCAGACTGATCACCTAAACACTGGAAAAACAAATAATTCCATAATATTTAACCAAAAAATGTTTATGCATTTTTTTTATTTGAGTAATCACATTAGATTCTTTTTAGAGAAATAGGTTGGTACACTTTACTGTTAAGAAAAAAAAATCCAACAGAATTAAACAAGGAACTCAAGAAGATTTATTCTGGCAAATGATAAATAGCAGTGGTTCTTTATACATGACTATCTGTTTCAATTAAAATACTGAGGTATGCTTTAATTAAAAATATTATTTTGACATCTAATTTTTATTTTTGGTTCTAGAAATCATTAGGAGATATAATCAGAATACAGCATATTTAATACAAATTTGAAAATACTATTCAATAATTTTGGCTGATTCTCTTTACATATACAGTCAAGAAACATTTAGAACATTATATTTTGTCACCTTGCAAACATAATTGCTTAGTGGACAATCAGTTTATGTAACAGGATTTTGCAACATACTCTTAAGGAGTATACTTCCTTCAATTAGCATTATAAATTTGTGATTATTTCTTATTACCATCAATTAGTATGCGTGTGTGTATGTGTGTGTGTGTGTGTGTGTGTGTGTGTAAAATGGCCATTTATTATGAATTCATCTGTTCCAGATCTATACCTGGAAACGTAACAAAAATAATTACTATACTTTTTTTTGTTACACTCTAGCATGCACATATTACTTTTTTTCTTATTAAATTTACTTTTAATAAAACAAGTTATAGCAAATAGATATGTTATGAGGATTCTAGTACTTGGCAAAAATTATATTAAAATATCAGCATAACTTTATTTAGGAAACTCACCCCAGAGATTGGCACACCAGTCAAAGCTCCAGAACTCTGCCAAAAAAGTCATTTTAAAAATAATTATGCAGCTGTTTTCAATTAGTTTACAAATAAGGAAAATAATGTACAATTAGAACATGATTGCTTATAGTTCATAAGCAAATTAAAATAATGTAAAATTGTTAGCAGAAATGAAAATGAAAAAAAATAGAGGGAACAGAGAAAACTGCCATCTGGCAAGTTAACATAATAAAAGGCAAATTAGGTTCTCCACTGCATTGGACATGTCCTGAGTATCCCACATATGTGGAACGATCGGTGACACATCTTTTCCTTCAAATGCTGCTGAAATACAGTTCCCTGTAGCTTCACTAAGCATGGTAAACAACCATGAATGGTGGGAGAAAACTCTGAATCCTGTATTTAGTCCAGTGGTGGGATTCAGCCGGTTCGCACCGGTTCAGCAGAAATGATACCAAAGGTACCTTTAGTTCAGTGAACTGCTTGTTAAAATGGCACTTGAAAAAAGTGGAGTCAGTGTGCGCACTGTGCTCTCCATGGTGCATTGTAGCTTATCTGAAGCGGTCGGCCAGGTACAGAAGCGCCACAGAAACAGCGGGGTCTATATGCGCGCCTATGCGCTTACCCGTCACACCGTGAGGATCGTCGCGCTGATCATGCCAGTTCCACTACTCGCAGGAGGCCACGAGGCTCATCACGCCAATTACGCACTGAGCCTCGCAGCCTCATGCAGCATGCGGCGGCACCAATGCAATCGGTGCAATGAGCCTTGAGACGTCCTGTAGCAAATGGCAGCACTGGCGTGATTGGCACCCAATAGGAGGAGGAAGGAGAAAGTGGGAGAAGTCACTACCGAACAGGCGAGGCAGGACAGGTTTCGGGGTGTGGTAGGCCTGGCTGCGGGGAGCATGGGGCAGCCCCCCGCCTCCCCCTGCAGAGAACTGGTTGTTAAATTATTTGAATCTCACCACTAACTTAGTCCTTGCTTAATGACAGGTCACTTAATGACTATTCAAATTGACAGCTTGGGAAAGAGTGCTTTTGTACACCCATGGCCACATGAACACAATGTGGGTACTTGGCAAATTGTCAGAACTTGCAACCAGTTGCCAAGTATTCCACGATCATGTGATCATCATTTGTAATCTTTGCCAGCTTTCCTAGAAAGTCAATGGGGAAACCAGCAGGGAATGTTGAAGTGAAGGTATGTTCAGGATTTCAGCTCTGTTCCTGCAGCCTGCTGAAAGATTTTCCCTGTGTGCAGAAATGGAGTTGAAATTCTGAACATCACTAGTAAAAACAAAAGGCAAAATTTGCATTCTGAAGGTCAAACCTGCAGCTATTCTCAATCTTACACTACCCCTAGAAATGAAAACAGCTTCAAATCACATCATAATGAAAGATTTTTGCCATTAAACCTTGCTGTCATGTTCTCAAGAAACTGGAAATCCACAAATCGCATCTAGGAAGCAGCCTAGAGCCTACCCAACTCAGAAGCAGATATCATTTGAATTTAGGTAATCCTTGAGGCTACAGTAAAAAAAGGTAAATACCATGCTTCACAGATAGGAATCAGTGCCTATTGTTATGTTGAAGTGGAAGAATAAGAGGTCTTATATTCAACAGTTATGCTCTGAAACTATTTGAAGCTTTATCCAAGAGCTAGGAGAATAATACAGGCAAAATTATGGACATTTAGCAAATAGCCACATCACAGGAGACAAAAAATAGCTTTTCTTTTGAAATATTATATGTGTACATGCACTCTCAACAGCAGTGATCAGCTTAGTGAGCCATGCATAAAATGTAGCCAGTGCATTTCCATTCAGGGATATCTTTATTTTTTAAGCTGCCACTGTTTTTATTATTATTATTTTTAAAAAAACCTCTTTCTGCTCTAAGTATATTTTTAGCCAGAAACTATATAATTGTCACTCTCAGTTTTCTAATCTTTTAAACTGATGCAAAGTGATCAATTGAACTTCAATTGTAATTAAACTTTGAGAAGGAGATTTCATTACAACAAAGAGTGAGTTCTCTGAAGAAATGCACTGTATCTAAGCAAGATGAATGAAGATGTAACTGGCTGTGTCCTAACAAAATCCTACTCACCAGGGTAGGAGAAATTTTCTATTTCCGGCAAAATAAGTAATGAGAAAAAGGAAGAGACATAAACAAGTTCATAATTTCAAAACCTGTTGGTTTAATGACCATTAACTGTATGATGATGCTGAACAAATGATAGTTGAAGCATCCCTGTGGTCGCATGATCAAAATTTTAGTGCTTGGCAGCCCATCTGCATTTATGACAGCAATGAGCCTTTCAACTGCTTATCTTCACAACAATCTCTGTGTCTGGCTACCATGCACTCTGCCACTGCTGCCTACCCCTACTCTACCCAGTTGAACTTCGCTGTTTTTTCCTCTGACTGTTGATGAGATGCTTTAGGCAACTGCTGCAATGGTGGCAGCAGGGGTAGGTGGCAGCAGTGGACAGCAAGGGAGCCAAAAGGATGGAGATGTGGGGATGTGATAGACAGATGGGGGAGTTGAATGGGAGCCTTATTTACTTATTTGTTGAAGGACAGAGCTGATAGTTTTTGCAGAGCAGAAGAGTGAGGTTCCAAAGGTGTTTTTTCAAAAGGTAACTAGACTTTGTTTTTCCTTGAAGGTGTTTTGCTTCCCATCCGTCAAGGAAAACCAAAGTCCAGTTGAAAAAGCACCTTTGGGACAACCATGACCTAAATCAGGGGTCCCCAACCCCCGGTCCATGGACCAGTACTGAGCCGTGGCATGCCAGCAACCGGTCTGCACAAACAAGCAAATCCCCATCCATGAGATGCAGGCAGCACACAAAACCCTGCATTCCGGTCTGCAAAAAAACCTCTCTCCACGGAACAGGTCCCTGGTGCCCAAAAGGCTGGGGACCTCTGACCTAGATGACCGAGAATCTCCACAGACAGAAGAGTGAGGTCTTCATCTAATGCAGTGGTTCTCAACCTGTGGGTTGGGACCCCATTTGGGGTCGAACGACCATTTCACGGGGGTCGCCAAACAAGGCTGTCCGCCATTTTTCCCCCCTTTTCCTTGGCCACGCCCCTGGTACCCGGTGATGTATAAGTGGTTGGGGGTCACCACAACATGGGGAACTGTATTATGGGGTCACGGCATTAGAAAGGTTGAGAACCACTGATCTAATGACTACCACTGGGACTACTAAAACTGATGTCACTAAGCGGTAGTCACGTGATATTTCTCTTAACAACTGTTTTGTTTAGTGATGGAAGTTCCAGTCTCGCTTAGGGTTATAAAGCAAGGACTCCTGTATTATTTAAAAAAATATATTTAAGTAACACATCATCAGCTATGTTTTAATATTAGGGATCATATTTGATTAGAATATGTGTGTATATGGGTATACATGTGTGTTCCACATGTGTGTATATGAATAACTTTTTAAATATTGCCTCCATTTGATTTTTTAAAGGCACTAAAGACAGAATGTGTGGCTGGGATAAGGTTTTAGGGGGAGACATCTGACTTGTTTTTAAAACTGTTGCAAATATATTTTATTGTTTACACTATAATTTTCATGTATCTACTATAAAATACTGAAAACGTGACTTTTAGTTTTCAGCAGTTATGATCAAAAGATGATCTAGGAGCTGTCAAAAGAGGAGGGACAGTAGAGACTGTGTTTTTCCAATTCCTACAACTCTATGAATAAGACATGCATTGAATAATTCCTCGTAGTTTTAAGTTTTGGAAGTTTTAGTATGAAAGTTTTAGCTACTTTGAACAACAACTTGTGTTAAAGGGATTTAAAAAAAAATGTTGTTCCTTTAGAAGCTGAAAACAATATCAAGCTATGACTACTTTTGCTCAGCATTTTGCAAATTTTTTTTTTTGCCATCTTCCCTCAAACACCTTGCAATGAAATATATAAGGTAAGAATGGCTTAAAAGTTACTTAAGTCATTGAATATGTATCAAAACTGTTTTACATATAGCAACTGGAATGCTTTAAGTAGTTAAAAGTAACTGTCAAAGAAATAGGCAAATGTCCAATATCTCATATTAATAGAGCCAAAAAGCAGTACTCACTAGAAATAAAAGTTAAAATTCACATTTAAGTAAAGCAAACATTGCTTAATCAACTAAATGGTATTAGTTTATTGTTATTTACTTTAGATGTAAGTTCAAAAATAAGAACCCATGACATGTAAGTTTCAAATAGCTGTAATGATTCATAAAAGAAGATCATGCCATTGGAAACATCTCAACCCAATTTTGTTATGAGCTTCCCAGACTAATTTGACAAAAGAAATTTTCATTGTGTCATATATTTTTCTGGATTTAACTAGTGAGACATTATTAACTCCTATAATATGAGAGTCTTACATTTACAGAGATATTAGAGGTGATACAGCAAACAATAAAAAGCACAAGGTATTTGGAACTGAAAATATACCTTATACCTAGGCAACTCACATAATTCTTGCAGTGTTTATCAGTATATGTAGGTCTTTTGGAATTGATTTAAGTAAACAACAATACCATGTTTCTCCGAAAATAAGACCCAGTCTTAATTTTATTTTATTTTTTTTTGCCTCCAAAAGAGGCATCAGGGGGTGTCTTTTCCACTCAGCTCACGGTGGCAGCACCGACAGCCCCGCCCAGCCGGCTCATTCCTTCTGCGGCCAAAGGAGCAGCTTCATTCTGCAGCTGACAATGGAACTCCAGCCTGCATTTTGCAATCAGAGGCCTTTCCGGGAGGCCCCTGTTGCTCAGAAACAAGCTATGGACTGAATCCATCGCTAGTTCTCAGCTGCAGAGGCCTTCCGGAAAGGCTGACTGTGAAATGCAGGCCAGAGCTCCATTCTCAGCTGCAGAATGAAGCTGCTCCTTCGGCTGCAGAAGAAGTGGGCTGGTGAGGCAATGTTGATCCATGGGAGGCCTGCTGCAATAGTTTTCTACCTCCCACCCCCCGCCCTAGCTTGATTTTTAGGCTTATTTTGGGGGTAGGGCTTATATTAGGCCCAGTCTCCAAAATCAAGCTAGGACTTATTTTCAGGGTAGATCTTACATTCATTACTTACACGGTAGCACACCTAAATCTTTATATTTTTAAAAAGAATACATATATACAATTCACAGAAAACAGTAATTTCATAAGACAAAAAAAAAACTTTCAGAAAAGCAAAATTTTTAAGTGCTCTAAACTTTTCTTAAGGATTTTTAAAATAATAATAGTAATTTATTAAAATTGTATACCACCCAACTCTCAATGACTTTGGTAGGCTCACAACAGCTCAGACCTGGCTTTAATGTATTATTGTTTGTGAAGGGCTCCTGTCATTGTGTTATATGTAAGATTATTTCAGTCTGGGCTGTCTGATTGATTTAATGTTTTTATTTGTTTTTATGGTTTGTCCAGTTTTGTATACTACCCCGAGTCTACTGGAGTTCACCAACTTATAAATTCAAATAAATAAAAATCATAATAATATTCTTCCTGCTAGATAAAACTTGTTTCATAAAATATATTTCAACTTGCATGAGTTACTAAGTAGAAACAATACATGCAAAATCAGTAAAGTAAAACTATTTTCTTAACATTTAAATACATACCAGTAATCCATAGATTTCTGAGGAACTTCGCACTTTGGGAAGCATTTCCATGGGAATTTCAAAAAAACTAGAAGTATTTTTAAAAAGTTAGTGTGAATTCTTTCTTGTTAGTAAAAATAAAAAGGTTTTACTTATTTTTATTTTTTGTAAAGTCTCTGATACATTTGGAAACATTTCAGATTAAATCAAATCATTTAGTATTTGAAATTCTATATTTATTATAGTAAACAGTAAGACAAAATTTACCAAAATATACATATGTACATATAAAATGTACAAAAAGTAAGTGTAAATATAAGTCAAAAAATAAAAATATAAGGACACTGGATAAAGAGGTAAATAAAACAATATAATATAAATAAATAGAGGAAAATCAAGATTAATTAAATCAATCTTTATTTGGTCATAGAGCAGCAAAAAAAAAAAAAAAAAACCCCACAGGAGTCATCATTAATTAAGATAAAATGAAAAAAATATAGTTTTTCTAAAGGTTAATACTATGATCCATTATGCAAACTATTGCACAGTACTTGGGTGTGGTCAAGGAAATAAAATCAGATTTATCTGATAATAACATTGTGAGATAAAACAGATTGGAATGGGCAGATATTTAGTAAATAATGGAAATAATAATTCCTGGCAAGCACCTTCATAGAGAAGCAATACAGAATTCCATCGATTCAATTATTCCTCTGCCGTATGGACACAGCCTTTGCTTGAAGAGGATTTTTTGGTATCTTCCTTCTGTAATGGCTATTGAGAGGACATTAAATCTGGCTAAGGAAAAGGTCCTTCTGAATTTTGGGATTGTTATGCCACTGAGATATCCAGATGGCTAGAGAAATCAGAATGACTAAAGAAGTATTTCTATGTAAAGCTGGGAAGTCTATTTGCAGCTCTAAATCAATGGCCTACTGTTTGAAATCAACTAGTGCACATTCATAACCCATCAAGGTGTTGAGTAGCCATGAAAAGATATAAAGTTGCAATTTAGCAAGTACTGCCTGGCTCCAGGAACACTGGAAGCTGTTGATAATAATCAAAGGGGCCAGAATCAAGCTAAAAGGCAAACAGAACAAAAAAAGGGGCGGACTTCCAGTTTTGCGAAAACTCTGCTTCCCGCGGCTCTTTTCACCCTGCCCGGGGACCCTAAATGGGTGTAAGCCACCCCAAAGAGGCGGCGAACAAAGAGAGGCATCCCAGCGATTTGGGAACAACGGCAGTTGTCCCATTCAATCGGGAAATTCCCTCTAACCCGACAGGAGAAAGGCTGGCTCCACCTCAGTAACCAGCCCAAGCTACTTGCAGCCGAAGTCCACAAGTATTCACCAGAACATCGGTGAACAGCATGCTGAAACTGGGTGAGAAATTTGATCTTTTCTCTCCTACTCCATATCCTGAACTTTTGGAAAAGATACCCCAAGAAGCAAAAAAAAGCCTCCGAAAGTGAAAAGGAGGGGAGCTTCGCCCCACCCTCCCATGGAAGGAAGCAGTGAATTAAATTATTAAGGGGGACAAACATACTGTTGCTGACATCTAGTGGTAGAAGAGAATATATAATTTTAGCTGCTTTGTTATAAGTATTGGCAGGACGCCCAGAATGAGATAACTTACTTCTTTGATCTTTAAAAAGAGCTAAACATTCTGGGCCAGCCACAATAGTAAAAGATTATAATTGAAAAAACATAACTGACCTTCCTGGATGATAAACACCTATTGACTGTGATTTTAAAGCTGTTTTCAGAGAAAGAAAAATTTTTGAATTCTAGCTATCATAGCAAAAAGAACTTGTCAAGAAAAACCAAATACTTTCCAGGAGGAAATGCTTGCTAAGTTGCAACTAATCCAAACAATAATGGCTCTAAACCACAATGAAATTAAGAACAACTTTGATGACATAAATGGACATATCTTTATGTTAACTTCACAACATAAGAATTTTCAGAAAATGAAAGAATCTACCAATGGAAGGGATTGTGATTTAACGCAGATGGAGAGAAACATACAAGACGTGACTTGAAGCATCGGAACTGGAAGAGGTAGTCCATACTCCAGGATCACAAAACAAAGCCAAAAATAAGAAGAAAAGCCTGACAAAATGGATTACAGAGATACCAAAAAATCTACGACTTAAGAGACAAAAAAAGATAAAAGAAATCAACATCCTACCTGATTTGTCTCCCCCATCTTTAACAACATCCACAAGAAAATGGCAAGACTTTTTAACTAAGTGGAATAGATGGATGAGAAAAGCCGTTTGGTGAAAGAAAAAGACTAAAATCAGATTCAAGGGATTAGAAGACTGGACCTATTAGAAACAATTTTTAAAGGTTAAGCATTTGTTTGAATATGGTTAAAATATAATATGGTCTGCTCAACCAGTAACTATTGAATGGAATAGTTAAAAGATACACACACACACACACACACACACACACACACACACACACAGATAGATGATAGATAGATAGATAGATAGATAGATAGATAGATAGATAGATAGATAGACAGATGTGTGTGTGTGTGTGTGTGTGTGTGTGTGAAATGTAACGGTCTTATCAGATGCAATTTTTAAAGATTAAGTATTTGTTTGAATGTGGTTAAAATATAACATGGATTACTTAATTAGTAAATATCGAATGAAATAGGGTTAAAAAATAAAAAAAATGGAGGCTATAAATGAATTTTAGTTTGAGAGAGATGTTTTTCTTTCTCTTTTTCTTCTTTCGTATTCGTATTTTTTTTATGATATGAGAAATGTAATTGTTGGGAGGATTATTGTGAGGTAAACAGCTTAGATATTTAACTGTAAACCAACTTTGACAAAATCTTAAAAGATAAAAATGATTTCAATTTTGTGGGGAAAAAGTCTAAATGAGAATGTTGAAAACAGAACATATAACGCAACCAAGAGGACTAACTAGAAAAGTAGTTATATATTGATGCTATTAATAATTGGATAAATGTTAGAAAAATGTTTATATTTAACCTCTTTGTTACTAAAATACTAAGAACTGTATTAACCTAATGTTTGCAAAAGAGAACAATATGGGAATAAGAGAAAATCAAGGGAAACTGTTATTTAGAGTACGATATGATAGAAATTGACTATTATTGATTGTTGTGAAATGTGAACCCAGACAACATGCTATTTAGTAAGCACTAGGTTGTTAGTTTTTAAAAAATCAATAAAATATATATTTTAAAAAAAGAAAGGGATAGAACTAGGCAAACTGAAAGTATATAGCAGATAGCAGGGTAGAAATTGTGCTCTGTACCCAGAGATTTTTCAGGGTGACACTGATAAACGTAATGTGAGTGTCCTTCTAAAGGGAACAACAAAAGAGCACATGACTCAACGACTCTAGTGACCCATCTTGTCAAGGGTGTCCTTATGGTTCTCTCCACAGGAAAGTTCTAAAGACAATAAGCTAAGGTAAAAGCCCTATGGAATTTCAATATTTTAATGTATTAATAATTGAAACCTTCTAAGCCAGTGGTTCTCAACCTGTGGGTTGCGACCCCATTTGGGGGTCAAACGACCATTTCACGGGGGTCGCCAAACAACACAGTCCGCCATTTTTCCCTTTTCCTTAGCTGTGCGACTCCCTTTTATTCTATTGGCTTTTGAAAGCCAATAGAATAGACTTTCTTGAATAGAGTCTAATTTTAGTGGCTTTCAAAAGCCAATAGGAATTGTCCAGGCTGTCTCTGCCCTGCTGAGCCCACCAAAAGTCCCATTCTGCAAACGGTGCTGCAAGTTGTCTGCAGCGAAGGCGAGCTGTCTGGAAGTTTCCACCCCTCCCTGCTGAGCAACTACTAAAAATGTAAGTAAAAGAAGGCCAGGGGTGGGAGGCCGGCGGGCGCAGGGAGGGTTGCTGGCACGCGTGGGGCCCGGCGGGTGCCTTACCTCCCTTAGGCTGGGCCAGCTGGTGGCCCAGCCAGTGGTTGGCCTGCTCCGTCTCTGCCACTTGCCAGCTACGCCTTGGCCGGCGCAGGGGGCAGCACCACGCATGCGTGGCGCTCCCGGGCAGGGAAAGTCCTCGACTTATGACCGGTTGGGTAGTCCTCGACTTACGACCGGTTGAGTAGTCCGCGACTTACGACCGGTTGGGGGTTGCGGCATTAAAAAGGTTGAGAACCACTGTTCTAAGTAATAATTTGTTATTGTTGGTGCATTCCATATAAAAGTTTTCTACACATGTTCTTGAAATAAGAGCTGTTAAAATTAACCATTCTGCTGTAAAATTCTTATTTCCAAGAAAACCAGATTAAGGTCTTAATCTGAAATGTTGAGCATAATTTTTATTTATCTGTGAAATTTCTATGACCACCCATCTACACAAGGTGACTCTGAGAAGCATACAATAAAAAACTGCCATTTCAAATATGCAGAAGTAAATTACTTACTTGCAGAGCTCATCATCCCACTCTAATGAATGAATGTTGAACAACATTGTCCTACTGGCATTGGTTACATCAGTGCAATGAATACCTCCATTTTTTCCACCAGTCAAACTCTTAAATGAATGAATAAACAAGTTTTGATTATTAAATTTATAGAAGAATAGAAAAAAATGTGCAAACTGTAAATTTGCTTTTATTTACAAAAATTATCTATAGGAAAATAATGAATCAGCTACAATTTTAACCTAGCATGTTATGTGTGTGTGAGAGAAGGGGGAGGAATGGATCCCTTTTAGCAGGGGTGTCAAACTGCCAGCCCATGGGCCAGATGCGTCATGCAGAAGCTGCACTCACCCCAGCTCTGGCAAGGGGGAAAAAGTTGTGATATGTCACGACACGTCATGTGATGCAGTGACTTTGACACCCTGCCTTATACGCAACAGGAGATTTGTATTATCAGACTGGCAAGATTCTGTTAATGTGTCCTTATGATTAAGTAGAATTAGCTCATCTGATTATGTTTCCTATCTGGTCTACCTGGAGTGCTGACAGAGTGGTGCCTTTGTAGCAGCTATTTCTCTTGTCCTTTAAGGCCATTACCTATGCCTGCTAGTGTGTGTGTGTTTTTGTGTGTGTGTGTGTGTGAGTGAGAGAGAGGGGGGGGAGAGAGAGGGAGAGAGAGAGAGAGAGAGAGAGAGAGAGATGTACAGAGACAGACATAATTATATAGTTGACTTCAGTTCTTAAAACATCAGTTCTTAAAGGCTTTCACACATCAAAAGTTCCACTGGAACTTTTTCTATTAAATGTGGATTATATTAGAGATATAAATGCCTAAAGGAAGACAAACGTGCCAGAGCTACACATTTTGCAAGCATAACCTGCTAGGCTCTTTAGCTGTACAGAGAAACTATTTTTCTCACTCTTTTATCATATATTTACTTAATGTATAGGATAAATGTATATCTATCTCTAAATCAGAATTTTCCAAATCTGGGTAAATTACCTAAGAATGGTAAAAATGGTTTTTGGGGGGGATAATGTCACACAAACCTATTATACAAACACAACAGGGACATTTAAATCAACTGAAAGTGTTTTACCTATATTGAGTAAAAAGGACTTTCTGATAAGCAGTTTTGGATAATTAAGGAAAAATTTGGGAAGCACTAATTTAGGATATTACTAAACCCAACTTTATGATCAAAACTGAATGAATGTTTGTACATATTTGTTCATCAAGGATGATTTACATTCATTATATCCAATTTATTCTGCTAATAATGTTCTAGACCGTCTATACATGAATACTAATGTTCCTAGGAATATGACAAAGAAGGTTGACTTTGTCTTGAATAGTTTTAAGGATGTTAAAATCAAGCTGAGGAAGTATAGAAATGAAAGAAATTGATTTAATTATTGCATATTGATACATACCCATATTAACCATGAATCAATAGTACCAAAAAGAGCACTCCCATCAAGAACTGCTTGCCTGATCTCTTTCACATTGTCCAAAAGCCAGCGTAGTTTCACAGCACTGAAATATGTGCTAAGAGGGAGACCAGTCCTACTCTGCAAGATTGAAAGATAATAAATCATGCATAAACATCTTTGTTGTTAATTGCGAAGTCGTGTCCGACCCATCGCGACCCCATGGACAACGTTCCTCCAGATCTTCCTGTCCTCTACCATCTTCTGGAGTCCATTTAAGTTCTCACCTACTGCTTCAGTGACTCCATCCAGCCATCTCATTCTCTGTCGTCCCCTTCTTCTATTGCCCTCAATCTTTCCCAGCATTAGGCCCTTCTCCAGTGAGTCCTTCCTTCTCATTAGGTGGCCAAAGTATTTGAGTTTCAACTTCAGGATCTGGCCTTCTAAAGAGCAGTCAGGTTGATCTCTTCTAGGACTGACCGGTTTGAACGCCTTGCAGTCCAAGGGACTCGCAGGAGTCTTCTCCAGCACCATAGTTCAAAGGCCTCAATTCTTTTGCGCTCAGCCTTTCTTATAGTCCAACTTTCACAGCCATACATTGCAACTGGGAAAACCATGGCCTGGACTATACGCACTTTTGTTGGCAGGGTGCAATACAACAAATCTGCTAGTCTGCTTCTTCATTTTCCTGTTGTTATTGTTGTTGCTGTTGTTATTATCATTGTATTATTATGGTAGCTTTGACTCAGTCTGCATTCCTGGAAACTACCTGGCCAAGTCAATGCAGTTATCTTGGGAATGTTTTTGGAAGTGATTTGACATTCCTTCTTTCTGCAGCTGAAAGAAAGTGACTGACTCAAAGAAATCCTATAGGCTTCACACAGATCTCACAATCTCCTAGTTTCTTTGGTGCCTTTAATCACTACACCAGAGGTCTTCATACCTGGCCCTTTTATGACTTGTGGACTTCAATTCCCAGAATTCCTCAGCCAGACACACTGGCTGAAGAATTCTGGGAGTTGAAGTCCACAAGTCATAAAAGGGCCAAGTTTGAAAACCCCTGCACTACACTAAACTAGTTCTCTTTTTTTCACTAACATGAGCATAAAAAAAGAATGATTTGCACTGTGTAATTATCAGACATACTCTAATTATTCTAAGGTCAGTTTTTACCTTAAAAAAGGATTTATTCTTTCCTGGAATCCTTTTAAGAAGTCTTTCAACAGTAGATTGAGTCCTTAGGTCAAGCCATACTAGAATCCAAAGACAAGCATTAATATCAGTAAAAGTAAATATTTAAGCAATGCATTGATTGAATAGAATCAGGTTCTGAATCTCTGAATAGGTCTCCATTGACAAATTTCTCAGAAGCATCTAATATAGTTTATATATTTTATATGTCTTCCTGGACGATAGGAACAACCTTATTCAAGATAGGCGAATTAAGATTAGATTTTTAAATTGGTACTTTATCATTGTAAACTATGCTTCTTCTCATTAAGCTAATGTAATTTCAGTTCCAAATAATAAATTATTTACCTAATCAAAATGTTTAAAGTACAATGAGTAAGCCTGTATCATTTAATAATTTATCTAACAAAATACTTTTTAAATAAAAACTAAGATTTGCAAACCAAAATAAAAAAATGAGAGTAGACATTTTAAAAACAGAGAATAAAACCACAAGCTAAGCTTATATATATGAATAATTCAGATTTCAGAATTTAAATCACAAGATCATACAGGAATAGTTTTCTTCATTTCATAGGTCTATTCTTAGCCCATATTCTTTTAGAGGGGCTTTATTCATTCTGAGAGCATCTCCTGGGATACAAACAGTAAAAATTAGATATGCTCAAAGTAATTCTATTATAGCAATTTATGCTTAATTACCAATTCTTAATTAATGTGTTTTCCATGCATATAAGCATTTAGAAGTGTTCTGTCAATGCTTGCAGCTTGTTCAAAATGTGCAACTTAGCGGCTTACCCATTTAAAATGTAAAAATTATTTTGTATTACTATAAACACGTTGTGCAGGCAACTGAATGAAAGAACACCAAGTTGAAGAATTATGCTGGAGTGAAACAAAAAAATATTTTTTGTCCTTATGATTGATTCTCATATCTTGATTCAACAGTTAATTTAGAAATCATGATGAATTAATAAATTATGCTTCAACTAAGTCCATTAGTTTGTTAATAGAACAAAACCAAAAATAGAACAAATAGAACAAAAAAAAGTAAAACAAATCCTTCTAAAGAAGAGAGCAAAAGTGAGAATTTTTAGAGCTGCTTTGAAATACAAAGAATTCTTTGGGCATCTTTAAACATAAAGGCAAAAAAACAGACTAATATCTGGTGCAACATATTGTTATTGATGCTCATAGAACATATAAAATATATGTGGGTATGAGAAGAACTATATTAATTAAAATTAATTAATTAATGAATTACAACAGTTCAATAGACTTACCAATAGCATTATACAGAGGTTCTCCAGTTTTTTTGTCCCAAACTACAGTTGTCTCTCTCTGATTGCTAACTCCAACAGCTTTTAAGAACAAAACAAACATTCTATCATTTTCCAGATTATTACATATTTTGGATCAGCAAAACTTTGCTTTTGAATGAAATCGTTTCTGACTTCTGAGAGTAAAAAGATCATCCAGATTGAAGTACAATGTGGCCAAGGGGACAATACTGGGAGAAAGTAACAGAATTCAGCATAGCTAATTTGCCCAAGCAAGTGCCTTCCGGCTCACTTAATACAATTTTGGATTGCTTATAATTCTAAAATATTTTAGTTTCTTTTAAAAATATTTCAGTAACATCACATTTATTCTCCATTCACATCTGTAAGTTATTTATGTATATCACTTTCTTCTCTTGATTTGGAAGGATATTCATGATTCATGATTATTATAGAATTAAAAATACCTTTTATGTTGGAAATGTCTATATTCAGCTGGTTCAATTTCTCGCATGTTCTTTCAACACATTCATAGACAGACTGCAATATTTCCTTTGGGTCTTGTTCTACCCACCTTGAAAACATCAAGGCTCACATTAGAAGTCTCGCAATTGATATGATAGTCAACAAACCATAATGGCTCATTTGCTTCATTGCCTTAGAAAGAGATGGCCATTTACCAACAATAGTTTCATTGACTATTAACCAGTTTCCTAGAAGCAGAATGAGTGTACCTTTTCACATTTAATTCTTCTTATAAAAAACCGCAAGAATATAAGCTTATATTGCCAGGTAATATACCGTAAGTAAGCCTTAGCTTCTTTACAGTAAATAAAAATCAAACTGTATTTTTCATTGTTGGCTTTAGAACAAGAAAGACATATCAGAAAATAAAATCCAGTCAAAGACATCCAAAGTTAATCACAATAATGCCAAAATATAAAAAGTGTGTTGTGAGGTCAAAAGGTGTGTCTCTTATATATTTCTGTAGAACAAAAAGGATGGGGTTTGATCACAATGCATGTTTTGTTACTTGTTACCATTCTATGATACCCATAAAATTGTATTTAAAATATGTAGCCTTTCTGTCAAAATGTTCTTATTAAGAATCCAGTTTACTTATCATAAAATGCAAAGATTAAATTGCTGAGATTTAAAGATAAACGCAAACATCAAAATCTAAGTATTTTACTTCTTATGCATTGAGGCATTATTGGAATTATTACTCATAGGAGGTTTTATGGACAATTCTGAAATAAGTTCATCATAGTGGCATTTCTGTGATGGGTGAAATATACATATTATTTAATAGAATGTTTCAGCATAACTGCTTATTGTTTTCCTGTAAACAATAGAAGAGTTATCTTGATATAAACTAAATACCATCAAACTTTTAAAATTACTATGCAAGTCTAGGGGCTATGAGGAGGTATCCTACTGCAAGAATATCCGATTTATGATGTTAATCTTAAAAATCCATTCCATTTATTGCAATGTAAACTTTTAGGTCTGAATTTAAACAAATACAAAAAACCCCCTAGCTTTATATGATAAAACTATATAATATATATACATATACACACACACACACACACACACACACACACGAACACCAGGAAAAATTTTAAACTAAAAACATTTAATCGAATGCCAAGCTTTCGTCAGCCAACTGCCGACATCATCAGTCGGTCGATGGGAGTCTCCTTTATAGTGCTAGCCAGTTTTTGCACACGGCTCCTGGACCTCATCATTGGTCCTACTTGATTGGGCTGTGTGTTGGTCGTATTCTTGATGTTAATTGATGCTACTGCTCTGTTACTTGCTCTCCTTCCTCCACTCTCCTTCTTTGTGCGTGTATTGTTATCTATCTCCTCACTACAGGCTCCTGAGTTGGGAATACTCCTTCCCCCCCTTTTTTTGGCCGTTCGTTTCCTCCGTGTTTTCCCAGTTACTTCTTCTCGCTCCATTGGGCCGTGTGCTGGGTATTCTCCTCTCATCTTCTCTCCCGCCATCCTTCCCATATGTTCATGGCCATGTCCTACGCATACATCACTTCCTATGGTCTCCACCCCCTCTTCTTCATCTCCGATATTCATTACATTTGCGTCGCCCCAATCATCGCGTTGCAGTCTCCCTTTTGATCCGTTGCCTTCATCTAATGTGGATCGTACGCATTCCCTCTTCACGGGGTATTGTTGCATTGTGTGTTTGAGTCTACACCCCCCTTTCTCGTGGCCCTATGTTTGCATATAGGATTAGTTGGTGGGGTGGCCATTCCTCCCCCCCTTTTTTATGTTTGTTATATATCTATCGTTGCAATCTTCATATTGTCTATGGTGTTCTAAGTTGTCCTCTTTTTGAAATCGCGATCGAGTTTTTATTGTGGAGCTGTCAATACACTGTCCAATTGGTTCCACTCCACTGTTTTTATATTTTGTTGTTACTGCACGTGCATGAATATCTTTGATGCCATTCGTTGGGCAACCTGGAATCTCTGATGTAAAGGCTTTTTGCCGGTGTGTTCTGACCTTTGTTCTTTCATTGGGGGGTGTTGTTATTCCTCTTGGGTGTCTTAAGGGATCTGGGGGACCTCCTGCTGTATTGGATTTTATTCTCCCGTTTAACAGCTCTCTTGCTCTTTTGGAATGTGTGCATACCCCCAGGGAGGGGGCTTCTGTTGGTTGTTTATTGGCAACCACTGTCTGATTGTCCGTAGGTTGCAATGGCATTTTAAGTTCCCCTATGATCCTGTCTCCTTGATATTGTGGCACATAGTTGGATTGTCTTTGTTGCGATGTATGATTTCGTTTATCCCATGCTCTCAATGCCTGGTGTGCTGGGCAGAATTCTATGTGCCGGTTGACCAAATTTTTGTCGGAGAGCCAAGCCTCTTTAAGCAGGCAGCCTCCTTTGGTGGTGTCACTGGATAGGGTATGCACGTCATTAAAGTCGAACTGGTGGCCAAGATCGGCCATATGCATCCACACTTGTGAGTGCTGTTCGCACCTTTTGATGGCCAGCTTGTGTTCATGTATCCGGGTTTTCAGTCTTTTGGAGGTCTCCCCAACATAATTCCTAGGACAGTCTCTGCAGTTGATCTTATACACCACCGTGGATCTTTCTGCATTGGAGAGCGGATCCTTGGGGTGCATGATCTTAGAACGCAGTGTCTGGTTTGGTTTATGGGCTACTTTTATGTTATGGGGGGCTAGTAGCCTAGCTGTTGCTTCGGACACATTGTTGATGTAAAGGAGGGAAACAACGCAAATGTAATGAACATCGGAGACAAAGAAAAGGGGGTGGAGACCATAGGAGGTGATATATTTGTAGGACATGGCCATGAACATATGGGAAGGATGGCGGGGGGGAAGATGAGAAGAGAATACCCAGCACACGGCCCAATGGAGCGAGAAGAAGTAACTGGGAAAACACGGAAGAAACGAATGGCAAAAAAGGGGGGGAAGGAGTATGCCGAACTCAGGAGCCTGTAGTGAGGAGATAGATAACACATGCACAAAGGAGAGTGGAGGAAGGAGAGCAAGTAACGGAGCGGTAGCATCAATGAACATCAAGAATACCACCAACACGCATCCTAATCAAGTAGGACCGATGTCGAAGTCCAGGAGCCGTGTGCAAAAACTGACTAGCACTATAAAGGAGATTCCCATCGACCGGTTTTAAGCCCTGATGATGTCGGCAGTTGGCCGACAAAAGTTTGGCATTAGATTAAATGTTTTTAGTTTAAAAATTTTCCTGGTGTTCGTGTTTGTTTGTTCTTATAATATGACTATACCCAGGATTCGTGTTTTTAACGAAATTAGTCATATATATAGTCCCTAATTATGCTAAAAATACGAATCCTGGGTAAATCCATATCATAGAAATAAAATAGTCTGAGCACCAGGATAATATTAAAACAAAAACTGTTTAATATAAAAGCTAAAGCTGAGCTTTCGTCAGCCAGCACTACTGACATATCAGAGCATAATGCAAGATTGCTGGGAGTCCTTTTTATCAAAGGATATGGCTGTAACACAGAACGTTCAATAAGAACATGTCATTAATGCAGTTGAAGACGACACAAATTTGAACACATGAACTGCCTTTCTATTCATGTTGGACATATTTAAATTCTAAGATCAGAGAAAAACTATTCTCTCTGTTGAATTTTCTCAATTGTTCACAATGCAACTTCTACCTTACTCTAAAAATATGAATTTGGATGTTTGCTAACAGAGCAGATTTTAACAACATAATAAAGGGAGGAAATAGGGATGGAAACAATTTCATCAGCTAAAAAAAATTAATTAGCTTTTTTCCATAGAATTTAACAACATCATATAAAACATCAAATGTTCAAACATAAAGGAGAAACTATACCCTTCTTTGGGGAATTTCTGCTGGATTTCCACTTGGTGATGACTCAATAATTCAGCTGTGTTTGCATTGAAAACCTGCAAGCAGTAAATATATAGTTATCAAACCAGTTTGTATATCCATAGGCAAAAGAGTATAGAGTATACAAGGAAGCTCATCACCAACATTTTATCAGGTAACAGTATTCTGATTTCTTCATCTGTAACAGGAAATAGTCAAATAACAGAATTGTAGTATAACACTTGCTTAGCCCCAGAAACAAACAGCAAATAACATGCTACTTTAAAATAATTTATTTAAAAGAAGATACAAGCCCTTCTGGATCCCAGGTTACAACTTTTCAACCATAATTTTGCAGTGATATAAAAACTCAATATACGAAATATAGAAATTAGAAGATATATGAAGAATATGTTAATTGGAAAACTTAGGTTTAGGAGGTTTATATAGAAAAATAAAAGCAAAGAATATTTGCTACACAATATGGACCACTATCAAAAGGAAAAATAGAGAACAAATGGGTCTTTGAAATAAAAAGCAATTTCCTATAGTTTTACATCCAAAGGTCAATATGCATAATAAATTATTTTCAAACTTCATAACTAAATAAATCAAGTCTTATCTCATTAATCCCCTTTTACAATAATTTTAAAAAGACTGCCATTACATTTAATGTTCCTGAATAAATGTTTATAAACACTAAGAAATATTCTAATATTCATAGAAATATAATCAGAGTTCTAAATTCTGAACGTCGGAACTTTGAATAGATAATAGCAACTATGAAATTATCTTGTCTGGTCTATAAAAATGAGGCAGAGTTTTCCTAGCTTATCAGAAATACATAAACCTAGGTTATATCTATCTTTTTCTAAAAGTTAGTACTCAGCACGATTACATTAAATTGATGTACAAAAGTAACATTTTACAAAAAAAAGAACCTTCACTCACTGTAGTATCCTTCTGATTATAGTATTATTGTGTTGCACATTAGAAACATGAAGGTTAAGTAGAACAGGGACATGGTGCCATTCAGATATTGTGAAGCACCTCTTATTAGCCTTAGCAATGGTTAGTTGTAAGGAATAATGATGCACCTGTTAACTAGTGATGGATAGCAACAAAAAATAAGGAAGCAAGAATATATTCTTGCCCTTTTAAAATGAAGCAATGTGTAGCAACTGCATGCAGTGATTCTTTTGTTACATGTAACTTATTCATTTTATTGGAAAAAAATAGTTTTAGAATGTGACCAGAAAATATATTCCATACAAATTAAGATGGCCAGTGATTAAGGTAAAAGGCTAGAAAGTAGAAGATTATGAGTTCTAGTCCCACCTTAGCCAGGAAAGCCGGCTGGGTGATCTTGGGCAGGTCACACTCTCTCAACCCAACTCACCTCAAAGAGTTATTGTTGTGGGGGAAAATGGGAGGAGAAAGGTGTGTTGGATAGGTTCACTGCCTTGAGTTATTTGTAAAAATAAAGGCAGGATACAAATAAATAAATAAGTAAAACCTTATGGAAGTAAAAATGTACCACTGAATCCAATTATATTTTTGTGAGTATAATCAATAAACTAATTTTCAATTACATGACATAAACAACCAAGCAATTCTCAGATAAACCTAAGATAGAATTTTGTAAAATAATTGGTTACTTAAGATATATTATGTGGATCTGTATGATTCTGCACAACTCTAAAACATAATGTTTGCATAATTATGTCATATGAAATATTTGGGAAACATTACCTGTGTTTTATGTGCCCATATCAAGTAGATTGCTTTTTTATTTCTAAATTATATTTATTGTTTTTCAGTTAATATGTCTTAAGAGTATTTAATTCCAAAGTTCAAATATAACAGATATAAAAAAATCATACTGATGAAAAATAGGCGATTGTAAGAAAGAGAAACAGTTGTTAATCATTACCTACAAGGTCATTCAACTGATCTAACTTGTTTATCTTTGACTCAGATAAGCAAGTATCTACTTGTAAGTCATGACCATCACTTAATTTTATTTATTTGTTAGGGCTCATTAGTATTCATTCTCTATTTTGATCAACAGTACAAAACTTTTTTTCTCAATTTTCTGGAAGAAAATTATTCAAATGAACTAAGTTGGAACCATTTCTTAACTAAGATTTTGAACATAGGCTTTATTTTTTTTCCCTCTTTCTGCAAATAACTTGCTTACAATGTTTGCCCCACAGAACAGATTTAAAGGAAAGGCAATCTAAAGAAAAATGTGACACCTAAATAGAAAATAAATGAAGGATTAAGAATAACCCCACTATTTTTCTTTATTCCATTTGACAAATATAATTAATCTGTTCTTATTTATATCATCAAGATCAAGCACTAGAGCTAGCCACTGTGTACTTGGAAAAATTATTAAAATTTTTAGTAGTCAACTTATGTTGTAAAGTATGTTAGACATTATGGACTCTTAACTATTTATGAACAAGACAAATTAGAATAGGATTACATTCATCTTCTATTTGAATTCAACAATTTTGATTAAAAAGGGGGCCTGCACATTTGCATATACATAAAAACATTTCCACGTTGTCAGTTCTTCCACATTTCCATTTTCTCTATTTTTGGTAAGATGAAAGACCTTAAATATCAGTACAGTAAGAACATATGGGTTTCTAGGCTCTTAGCAATTTACAAACAGACCACACTGTTTTATATGAGACAAGGACTGTATTTGACAGACTACCTGTCTCCAATAGAATCTGTTCAGCCAATTTGATTTTGCAAGGTTGGTGTTGTCTAGGTAGCTTTGATTAAACAATGTCATCTAAAGGACCCAGGAAGCATGTCTTCTCTCTAGTACTGCTGCCATGAAATAAGTAGCCCCCACTCTGGTTGTTTAGAAGAGCCATGAAGGTCTTTGGTGAAAGAGAGCCAGACCGCTTCCTTCATTCCCATCCAGTTTGCTGTTCCTGTCATAGTTTATTTTTCTTCCTTTTGTTTTATTGCAAATCTGTTTTGATTGTTGTGAGCTGCCCATTGTCATTAGGTATTGAGGGGAATCTGTTTAATAAATAAATATGTACAATTACACAGCTTGGACACTATTTGGCAATCCAACTAATTGTATCAATAATCAATATTACCATAATTCAAATATTGGAATACTTGAATCATTTTCATCAAAGTAGCTAAAAGAAGGCATAACAGACAATAGAATACTTTTTTTAAAAAAACCTCTATTGCTACTATTCTGAAACTTCTTTGGGATGGTCATAGTCAAGATTTACAGCTGAATATGACAACCAATTTTCTTATCTAGTATTGCAAGTCAACTACAATCTTGTGAAAAAGAAAGTATACCTTCTTTGAGTTCTACCGTTTAGTATCAGAACATGGTAAAAATGATCTGGTCCTTAGCAGTTCTTAAAACTGTCAAAAACAGATGACATATTACACCATTTCATCATTTATTTTACAAAGAAAGTCAAAATGGAGAAAACATGTATGAAAAATTAAGTACACCTTTCTGCTTCCATAGGGATGAAGAGATTAAGTAGCAGCCACATGCTGTCCTTGATCAATTGATTATCAGTGTGACTGCCTCTATAAAAGCCAACGTTTTAAGAATTTTTTGTTTTCAGCATTGAGCTGTGTGTTAACACCGTGCCAAAGAGTAAAGACATCAGCAATGATGTTCTACGCACCAATCTGGAAAAGGTTATAAGGCCATTTCCAAACAATTTAAAGTCCATCATTCTACAGTGAGGAAGATTATTCACAAGTGGAAAATTTTAAGATAGTTGCCAATCTTCCCACGAATGGACGTCCCAGCAAATTTATCCCAAGGTCAGACCTTTCAATGCTTAGAGAAATTGAAAAAAAAATCCAAGAGTTAAATCTCAGAATTTGAGGCCTCAATTAGCATGTTAAATGTGGAATTTCATGACAATATAATCAGAAAAAGACTGAACAAGTCTATGATTTGTTTGGTAGGATAGCCAGGAGAAAGCCTCTTCTCTCTAAAAAGAATATTGCAGAATGGCTTATGTTTGCAAAGTTGCATCTGAACAAATCATATGACTTCTGGAAGTCCCTTCGAACAGACAAGACTAAAGTGGAGATGTCTGGCCATAATGCAGAGTGCCACATTTGGCAAAAACCAAAGCATATCAGACAAACATCTAATGCCAACTATCAAGCATGATTGGTAGAGGGATGATGATTTGGGCTTGATTTGCAGCCATAGGACTCGGGCATTTTGCAATCACTGTTGATAATGAACTCCTCTTTATACCAAAGTATTCTAGAGACAAATATTAAGTTATTTAACTCTAGCTAAAGCTTGGCTCATATTGGGTCATACAGCAGGACAATGAGCAAGCACATCAGCAAATCTATAATAGAATGGCTGAAAAAGAAAAAAAAAAATCAAAGGATCAAGTAAAAAGTCCAGACTGAAATGCTGTGGTGGGACCTCAAGGGAGCCATGCATAAACAAATGCCCACAAATCTCAATGAACTGAAGCAATATTGTAAAGAGTGGACCAAAATTCCTCCACAATGATGTGAGAGACTGATAAAGTCATACAGAAAACAATTACTTCAAGATATTGCTGCCAAAAATGGTTCTACTTGGAGCCCTGGTGGCACAGCGATTAGAATGCAGTATTGAGGCTAACTCTGCCCACAGTCTGAAGTTTGATCCTGATGGAGCTCGAAGTTGACTAAGCCTTCCATCCTTCTGAGGCAGTAAAATGAGGACCCAGAGTGTTGGAGGCAATATGCTGACATTGCCAACTGTTCAGACAGTGCTTTAAAGTATAAAGCAATAGCACTTAGATCAGCGGTTCTCAACCTGTGGGTCACGACCCCATTTGGGGTCGAACGACCATTTCACGGGGAGTCGCCAAACAACGCAGTCCGTCATTTCCCCCCCCCCTTTTCCTTAGCTGTGCTACTCCCTTTTATTCTATTGGCTTTTGAAAGCCAATAGAATAGACTCTCTTGAATAGAGTCTAATTCTATTGGCTTTCAAAAGCCAATAGGAATTGTCCAGGCTGTCTCTGCCCTGCTGAGCCCGCCAAAAGTCCCATTCTGCAAACGGTGTTGCAAGTTGTCTGCAGCGAAGGCGAGCTGTCTGGAAGTTTCTACCCCTCCCTGCTGAGCAACTACTAAAAATGTAAGTAAAAGAGGGCCAGGGGTGGTAGGTGGGAGGCTGGCGGGCGCAGGGAGGGTTGCTGGCGCATGTGGGGCCCGGTGGGTGCCTTACCTCCCTTGGGCTGGGCCAGCTGGTGGCCCAGCCGGTGGTCGGTCTGCTCCGTCTCTGCCGCTTGCCAGCTACGCCTCAGCTGGCGCAAGGGGCGGCACCACACATGCACAGCGCTCCCGGGCAGGGAAAGTCCTTGAATTACGACCGGTTGGGTAGTCCTCGACTTACCGGTTGGGTAGTCCTCGACTTACGACCGGTTGGGGGTCGTGGCATTAAAAAGGTTGAGAACAACTGACTTAGATTTATATACTTTTTCACAGTGCTTTACAGCTCTCTCTAAGCAGTTTATAGAGTCAGCATATTGTCCCCAACAATCTGGGTCCTTATTTTACTGACCTTAGAAGGATGGAAGACTTAGTCAACCTTGAGCCAGTGAGAATTGAACTGCTGGCAGCCAGCAGTCAGCAAAAGTGACCTGCAGTACTGCATTCTAACCACTGCGCCACCACTGCTCTTATATAAGCAGTATACATCTAAGTGCTATTGCTATTCTACAAGTTACTGAATCATAAGGTATACTTAGTTTTTCACTCATGGCCTCCATTTTGGCTTACTTTTTGTAAAATAAATGATGACATGGTGTAATAAGTCTTGTGTTGCTCATCTGTGCTTACTTTTAAGAACTGCTAAGGACCAGATGGTTTTTATTATGTCCTGATACATAAAACCATAAATCTCAAAGAGGATGTACTTTCTTTTTCATGACTGTATGTGCTTAAATGTATTAATCAAATCTCTTGAACTTTTTAAATGAGCTCATTTATCAAATCACCATTTCCTCTGCGCACAGATACTTAGAAAAGACCATATTAAATGCCCTACATGCCATTAATAGACTATTTTTTGAGATAAAAAGTGTCAAATGGAGTTGGATAGTATCCAAACTGAATTAAATATTTCTTTTGTCCTAAAAAAACCTTATACTATGTTTTATCTAAGCTCTAGCAACCCTTTCAGTTAGCAAGTTCCATCTGTTTAGGCTGTACCTGTCTTACCTATAGACATCCTGTCGGCATCAACTCTTGAAGAGTTCAACAAAACATCCCTTTCATTCAATTTTAAGTTACACGTGGTCAGAGTTTTTGTCTTTTGTCCTGTCAGACAACATTTATTAAAATCTGTCATTCTTTTACTAACATTTTTAAGACACAGTTTAAAAGAAGACAATATTACTGACACTGTTGACAATTACTAATTTCTTGCTCCATTCTTCAAAGATCTTGTGTAATATTTTGGCTGTTTTAATGTTTTGTGTCATTTTTTTAAAATTCCAGTATTAACTGACATCAACAAAAGATTTGTATTTTTTCCCTTCTGCTTAGAAACTTTTGTCCCATCTAGCTCTAGTTTACAAAATCATTACTTATCTTGTTATGATTGACAATAGCCAGGATAGCCAGAATAAGTTTGCTTCCCACAAGAAGCTGATTATTTTTAAAACTTAATTCCAAAATCATATAGTAAAAATATTCCAAATTTATCTGGATCATTAATCCATTTATAACTTTCTTAGCTCAAAATCTTATTTAGCTAGTTGCTGTTTATTTCAAAGTTCTTAAGCTCATGTTTTCAGACTTATAATTCTGAAGGTTTCTGATAATTTTAAGATGGTTAATAGTCAATTTCCAAAAGTTATTAGAAAATGAGTTTTGTGAATTTAGTTAACTTTGAGGGAAATGTGCAGTTTAGAAACTGAAATATAAATACAATATTTTAAAAGACTTGAAGTAAGATGGCTGATCCCATTGTCTCCTGGAGCTCAAATATGGAAAACCGTTGTGCTGCAGTCTCCTCATGGAGGGGCAGCCACACACACCATATATGAGTGATCTCCCATCCTCTTGTTATCCAGAGAGGTTTATAACAGAGGTTCCCCCAACCTTTTGGCTACCAGGGCCCTGTTCCGTGAAGAGAGATTTTTCCGCAGCCCAGAGGCAGCGTGGTTTTGTGTGCTGCCTGCATCTTGTGGATATGTCTTTACTTGTTTGTGCAGACCAGTTGCTGGCATGCCATGGACCAATACTGGTCCACAGACCGAGGGCTGGGGATTCCTGGTTTATAAGAACCAGTCTACTTACTGATTCCTTAGTCTTTGCAGCTGTCTTTGGCTCCACTTTTATAAAGTCACTGTCAGTTCACAATTCCTTCTAGGGAATCTAATTCCATTTGTAATTTTTAATTCATATGGTACACAAAAATGGATTTAGTATCATAACTAATAAAAATGTTCCTTAGGTTCTTCTGAAAATTGACAAACATATACCAGGTTGAAAGCTGGTTGCAAGAGCCTACCAAAACATTTAAACTTTCAGTACAATTAATATGCTTTTTCTTGGTACATTCCCAAACTAAAATTGTTTTAATTTAAACATTCCTGTTTTTGTGATGGCATTTTACTTCAACAAAGGCAAGTACTTTAGCCTGTCAATGAATTTGGTCTACCATTCGTTCATAACCCAAGAACAAGAAGTTCTTGAATTCTAGACAGTTCTCCAAGTAAGTACCTTTTGCCTTTTAAAAAGAAATGACTCATACTTTGAGTGAAAAAAGATTAAGAAATGTCATTAGTAAGATTCACAGGATTTTTTTTAACCAAACTGTTTTAACATAACTTAAATTACAGAAACTGTTTCCTTTCTAATACTAGTCACTGAAACCTCCACCTGTAATGAGTATAAGTCAATCTGACAAAAATGAAAACAAAAATTCACTTTATATATTTTATAGATGATTCAAATAAATGTTCCCAAGATAATTACATAAGACATGCACTAAAAATATCTAAATGCTATTAAAAAAAACTTTCACTGCCCTCATCCAATACCTCTGGATTTAAAGATTATGTAATGAATTGAATAAGCCCGACCTTAGAGGGTGATACCAGAACCATTCCATACACAGGATACACATGAGGATTTCAAATGGAAGAGGATG